TTGGAGCTGAAATTACAGGCAGTTGTGAACAGTTCCTATGTGGGGCTGGAGCTCCAGCTTGGGTCCTCTGCAAGAGCAATATTTGCTCCTCACCTCTGGGTCATCTTTCCATGTCCAACAGAGGATTTTAAAAATCAGTTGTTTCGGCCAGGCGGTGGTGTCTCATGCCTTTAATCCCAGCACTTGGGAGGCAGAGGCAGGCGGATCTCTGTGAGTTTGAGGCCAGCTTGGACTACAGAGTGAGTTCCAGGAAAAGGCACAGAGAAAGGCACACAGAGAAACCCTGTCTGGAAAAAACAAACAAACAAGCAAGCAAACAAATCAGGTGTGGTGGCACTGGCCTTTAATCCCAGCACTTGAAAAGCAGAGGCAGTCTATCTCTTGAATTCAAACCCTATCTAACCGCCCCAAAAGTTAGAGAATCTATTCCATAAAGTTGTCCCCTCACCTCCAAACATTTCCCTGACATGCATACAAATAATAAAGAATTAAAAAGAAATGGATTTTTGTTTGTTCTTGTTTTTTGAGACAGGGATTCTCTGTGTAGCCTTGGCTGTGCTAGAACTGTGTGTAGACCAGGCTGGCCATAAACTTACAGGCTGGCCTCAAACTGCATGCCTCTGCCTCCCAGGTGCTGGGATTAAAGGCATGTGCCACCACCACCCGGCTAAAAAATGAATTCCTTTAAAAAAAAAAAATGTTTTACTTTAGACAGTGTTTCATGATGTAGTCCTGGCTGGCCTCGAACTTGAGGTGTTTTTCCTGCCTCCTAAGGTAGAATTAGAGGCATAACCCACTACATCCTGCTTTAAAATGACTTGTAAGAGGACATGTGTGGCACTCACATTAACAGTTTTACTCTAGTGCCTTATGCTGCCAATCTCTACCTGGTATGGTACAATGCTCTCAGTGTTACAATTTGAATTTTAGCAGAACGCAGATACCAAAGACAGCAGCAGCAACACTCCTGATAAGTATCTGAAATGCCCACTCATAGCCAGAACTGCTGTGAGTACTCTGTATACAGCACCTCATAGAACCAACCTTTGCTTAGGAAATCAGAGCCACAGTCATTTCCAGATACGGTATGGCAGTAAAGTGTGAGATTTGCCAAGATCTCACAGCTAACAATAAATCTCTAAGCTCCAAACCAGAGTGGTAACTCAGTACCCAGTGTGCCTTTTGGGGCCGAATATAAAGCAGTGGAAGGCTACTGCCCACACTTAGGAAGCCTGTATTGCAAACCAAACAATTGAAGGACAGAGTGTTTTGGTTGATAGGATTTCTGGATGACTAAGGGTCAAAATCATTACACATCAAGATGTGTGTCAAGGAAACCACTGCAGAGGACACCAAAGAACAGACCAGTAGTGATGAAATGGATTCCATTATAACTATAAAAAAGGTTTGCTTCTGTTAAAAGTGTTAATGGGTCTGTTTGTGTTCTGAGGTGGGGTCTCTTGTAGCCTGTGTTGGTCTCCACCTTGCTATGCAGCTGGGGATAACAACGTGAACCACCTGATCTTCCTGCCTCCTTGGTGTGAGATTCCTGGTGTGCACCACCACCCCAGGCATGTATCATCACACCCAGACTCAAATACAAAAGCATCAAAGTCCAGCTTGAGGTTTCAGAGCAGTAAATGGTTAAAAAATAGCCTTTAGCTTAATCTGTTTTTACTTACTTGGCCAAAAAAGATACGATCAATTATCAGAGACAAACTGAAGGTTATAAATCTGAAAAACAAAGTAGAATGGTTACTCACATTTGAACCTGCTGGGTTCCAGTCCAATGCCTTGTACCAACACCACTTTAAAAATGCTTTACAAGTCCACCAAGTGTGGGTTCATACATTTGGAAAGATCCTTCACTGATGACAAGATGCACTTAAGCAACCTTTATTAAAAAGACCACTCTATTTCATCTATTCTTGAATAATCAACCTGTCAACATAAAGATATGAATACTTATTATTTCAAAGTTCCCAGGGTTTAAAAAGCTCCACATAGCCGGGCGGTGGTGGCACACACCTTTAATCCTAGCACTCGGAGGTAGAGGCAGGTGGATCTCTGTGAGTTCAAGGCCAGCCTGGGCTACAGAGTGAGATCCAGGAAAGGCACAAAGCTACACTGAAGAAACCCTCTCGAAAAACAAAACAAAACAAAACAAAAAAAGCTCCACATGTCATTGGCTCCAAGTAAGAGAAGAGCTTCCCAGCTCACAGGGCTGGCAGCCGCTTCATTGTCATCCTGCCTCTAAGACTGGCCTGTGTATGGAACTGTGTCTGTCACACTGCTCTTAGTCTGTTTTAGGACACTCTCCGTTTTTAGTTATTTAGAACACCAGCTACAGACAATGTCATAGTTCCCACCAGCTGTCAACTTGTCACACCCAAGAGAACCACAATTGAAGAATTCTCTCCATCAGATTGTCCTGTGGCACGTCTGTGTGGCATCTTAATTGTTAACTGAGGTGGTAGTGCGTGTCCACTGTGGGCGGGGCCATCCTTGGGCCCATAGCCTAGGCTGTGTAAGGAAGGTAGCTGAGCACGCAGAGGAAGCAAGCTGGTAAGCTGCGTTCCCCCCAGCCTCCCTTTCTTCTCCAGTTCCTCCCTCCAGGTTCCTGCCCTGGCTTCCCTGGGGGATGGACTATAATTGGTAAGCTGTAATCAACCCTTCCCTCCCCAGGTTGTTTTTGGTCAGTGTTGATCACAGCAACAGAAAGCTAACAAGGAGATACAGCCATATAATTTGTTTCTTTTTTGAGACAGGTTGCCTGTCCTGGAACTCACTGTGTAGCCCAGGCTGGCCTCAGACTCAGAGATACACCTGGCTCTGCCTTCAGAGTGTTGGGATTAAAGATGTGTGCCACCAGGCTGGGCCAAATCATGCAAATTTAAGTGTTTACCATATGTCCTTTTGTTGAGTAGACATACTGCTGGCAATCCGTTTTATCAAATACTTTGTTTTCCAAAAATGATGATTATCACTTTACAGTGGGCAGGCAGTATTGAGAACTGTAGGCTTAGAGGATGGCTACGATTTGATTAGGTAAGAAAATGAGTTAGAGTAACTAAAGATACAGAGAGTAAGCAGGGCGTAATCCAAGACACCAACAACCAACACTATTCAGAAGGTAAGGAGAAATAAATGTAAGGTGCAGAATAGGCACCTGGGTTTGGTTTTTCATTTTTGTTTTTCGAGATGGTTTCTTGGGTCAGGAGGATATTCTGTTGGGCCTGGAGGAGACATTGCCTTATAGCAGTGGTTCTCAGCCTTCCTTACACTGTGACCTTTTAACACAGTTGCTCATGTGATGGTGACCCCCAACCATAAAGTTATCATTGTTGCTACTTCATAACTATAATTTTGCTATTGTTATGAGTCTTTTTTTTAAAAGATTTTTATTATTTATTTATGTATACGAGTGCTTTTATCTGCATGTACAACTTTTATGCCAGAAGAGGGCATCAGATCCCACTAGAGATGGTTGTGAGCCACCATGTGGTTGCTGGGAGCTGAACCCAGGTCCTCTGGAAGAACAGGCAGTGCTCTTAACCACTGAGCCATCTCTCCAGCCCCTTGTTATGAGTCTTACTGTAAATATCTGATATGTAACCCCTGTGCCCCTGTGAAAGGGTCATTCAACCCCCAAAGGGGTTAAGACCCACAGGTTGAGAACCACTGTTTTACAGTGAGCTCTATACTGTTTTTGGAGATTTTCTTTTAACTTATGATTGGAAGTAGGTTCAACATTTTTTTTTTTTTTGTAAGTTGTTAGGTATGGTAGTTCAAGGCCATTATTCCAGAAATTGGGAGACTAAGGCAGAAGGGGGTCTCTGAGTTCAAGGCCAGCCTGGTTAACAGAGCAAGTCCCAGGCTAGCCAAGGCTTCAAGGTAAGACCATCTCAAAAACAAAACAACAACAATACAAAACAGGCCAGGGCTAGTGGCACATTTTTTGTTTGTTTGTTTTTTTCCAGATTTTCTCTGTGTAGTTTTGGAGCCTGTCCTGGATCTCGCTCTGTAGACCAGGCTGGCCTCGAACTTACAGAGATCCGCCTGGCTCTGCCTACCGGGTGTTGGTATTAAAGGCGTGCGCCACCACTGCCCAGCTATGGCACATGTTTTAATTCCAGCATTCAGAAGGTAGAGGCAGGCTTGGGCTACATGGTGAGACCCTGTCTCAAAAAGCAAAAACAACAAAAAACAAAACAAACAACAAAGATAACTGTCTGTTTGTGGACCCTACTTTTCCGCCGGTCCAAGCGCTTTCTTGCCCTGTTTCTAAGTCACCTTGGGAATTGTATGTTCTCCTAACATTTCCCCTCTGAAGGTCTTTAGTCTTTTAAAGGCCAGACCACTGGGCTCTGGCTGAATATTGGGCACTGCCCCAGAGGCGAGGCCTGGTACAGGGGTCTGTGGCCCCAGCTACTCACAAAGCTGAGGCAGGTGGCAAACCCCATGCTCTGCTGGGCTGGGTACATCCAGTGGCTCAGAGGACAGTTTGGGTTTGTACTGGATGCTGTAACGGGCGTCATATCTGGGAACTCACACTGGTCAACAGTTGCTGTGTTGCTGGCTTTGCTAATTTTAAATCTCTCCATGCTTCCGTTTACTATAAAATAAAACGCCAGCATCACTTACATCCAAGAACCTCATGAGGTCATATGAGCAAAACTCTTACAAGGTCCTTAATAAACAAGAGAAAAAAGTTTAGGAAATAAAAATGGAAATTCTAAGAAACAGACACTTTGGTTTAACTGTAATACAATACAGTTAATCATTCTCATAAATCTAAAATGGAATACTGGGCCAACAAAATGGCTCAGTGGGTGTTTGCCATAAAAGCCTGATGACCTGAGTTCAATTCCTGGAGCCCAGATGGAGAGAACCACGGCCACAAAAGTACTCTGACCTCCACGTATGTATGCCTTTCAGCACTCACACATGGGTGTCTAAAAAAATTGGAAACACAGAGTTGGACGTTTTCTGTGACATCAGATACAGTAATTAGCTGAAGGATTGGACGAAACCTTTCCCACAGTCTGTCATTTACAGGTTAGTAAGATGTTATAGATAGCACCACGGCCAGACTTACCCCACGGGTAAAAAATGATGCAGGATCAGATGGAGCTTTCTCCGTTCTTGGTAGAAATGTCTGAAGAGCAGCGGCACCCATGGGATGAGGGCTGTGGGGCGGACGAGGCAAGCAAATGCAACCAGGAGCGGGTACTTGATGCTAGGACAAGGAATGGTGGTTACAGGAAACGGAGCTTCGTCCTAGTCGGCTATTTCCACTCAGAACTGTGGTGTGGGGGCGTTTGAGACAGGGTTTTACTTATATAGCTCTAGCTCACTTCATACTTTCAACTCTCCTGCCTCAGCCTCCCAGGTGCTGTGGTTCCAAACCTAGCTTAGCACTTTCAAGTAAGAAGCAGATTCTGCCGGGTGGTGGTGGTGGCGGCGGTGACGCACGCCTTTAGTCCCAGCACTCCAGAGGCAGGTAAGTTTCTGTGAGTTCAAGGCCAGCCTGGTCTACAGAGTGAGTTCCAGGACAGCCAGGGTTATACAGGGAAACCCTGTCTCAAAAAACAAAACAAACAAAAAACCAACAAACTATAAAACAGGGAGTTAGAGACCTTGGACTATAAGGCACAGCAAAATAGCCCGTTCCCCCAAACTGCCTTGGAGTCTACATCTAATTATCTTAGGTGACTGAAATATCCAGGACTACAAAGTGAGGCTCTGTCTTTGCAGGAAGGAAAGTGTCTTTGTACAAGACCCAAGCCTGTCTCAGTACTTTTTTGTGAGGCAGGCTCTCTGTGTGGCCTTGGCTTTCCTGGAACTTGCTACTTAGATGAAGCTGGTCTCAAACTCAGAGATCTGCCTGCCTCTGCCTCCCTAAGGTCTGGGACTAAAGGCATGTGCCAGCACACCCAGCTAGCTTTTGGTACACTCTTTTGAAATCAGGTTTGACTGGTGATTTTCTGCTATGTGGAGAATAAAACCCAAGGTGCGGAGCCGGGCCTGGTCCCACCCCAGCCTCAGCCTTGCTGGCTTCTCCCTCCCACACACTTGCTCCCCACACCACCTGCCTAGTGCCTGCAGCTCTCTCAGCTCCAGGTCTCTGCTCGGACACTTCCCTCTGCTCAGTCTGGGTTTTGCCCAATCAGATCTGCTGACCCTCACCCAGGCTGCTCAGTGGACCTGTGGGAACACTGAGCCTACCTTGCTTCTGATTGCTTTAGGGAACTGGAAGGCAGTCACCATGAGTGTGACTGGCTGACTCCTTGCCATTGCTAAAGGCTGGCTATGCCTGTCTCCCATGAGGACCTTCAAGCAGAGATTTGCAAGGGTCCCCGTACTCTTTCCTCTGGTTCTTTGGAGCCCACTGATAACAGACCACCACTTCAGTGAGCTCTGGGCACTACAGGATTTCCTAAGCACTGTCCACACTTTATAGCCAGCCCTTTTATTAGCTTCACCATGCAGTGTGACTGTTTCCTGTTTCCCTCATCGAGAACCTTTGGTTCTTCTAAGTCCCGTGAACACGTGATGACCTACTAGATACAACATGTTGATACTGCGGCTTTTCAAAGCACCTCTTAGAGATTTGTCTGGACTTAACTAACCGTCTTACCTGCTCCTGGACCTTGAGCCTCCCAGAGGATAGTAGGAAAGGGCAATCACGGTGAGGGTGGTCTCCATGGTGTTGGTGAGGGTTCGGGTACAGCAGTACCACGTGAACCAAGAGCACAGCTGGCAAAAGAACTGACGAGTCAGGAGTGAGTACAGCTGCCGTAGGAAAGGGGGCTAAGTGTGCTTCTGTAGAAAGCAGGGCTCGCGCTGCGGCAGAAGCCACGGCAGCGGGCACGTCTTAGGAGACATGGCCAAAGGCTGCTCTCAGCCTGTGCCACACGGCTCTGACAGCAGGTTTGCGTCTCGTAATGCTAAGTCAGCAGTGCTTTCGCGGGCTTTCATGGCCTGCCTCTGACTTAACTCTTACTTTCCGTTAATGAAATACCTGGGACACAGACCGAACACTGGTGCAGGTCATAGAGTATTGATGCTCCCCTCTAGACCAGCCAGCCAGCGCTCCACCTCCTACCTCACAGTGGCCGGACTGCAGCATCTGTTCATACTGATTTGGAAATGCTGCCCTATTTCTGCCTCCTCCTCTTCTTTGTGTGTGTGTATATGTATATATGCATATAAATGTATGTATGTTTATGTATATATGTGTGTGTATATATATAAAAAAAATATTTTTTTTTATGGGTAAGAATTTTGCTATATAGCCAAGGCTGAGCAGGAAGTTGCTTAGTGGCACAGTAGTCAGCCGTTTTAGGATCCATTTGCCCCACACATGCTCCGTAAAGTGTCTAAAGGGTTTGGACTTACCACCCATCGGGCCACCTCCTGTTTTCCCACTTGCTTCATGAGCGAGTAAAGCCTTACATCCGCTACAGCAGACAGAAGAGCCTGGGCCAGTCTGGGAATCCAGATCTTCAGTAGTTAAAAGGAAAACGTTGGTTAAGCACACCATCCCGGTTCATACTGAAGTGCCATGAAAATAAACACCTAACCATCAACAGTGTCCATCTCCATATTCACTCTGCTTTCGGTGTGTGCTTAGCTGGCTGGTTCTTGCAACTCCACCCCATGGCTTTTGGAATGGCTTTGCTATGTAGCTCAGCTGGCTTTGTCTTTGCTTTTCCTGCCCCAGCACCCTCCAAATACTGGGAATTACAAGTGCAAAGCACCATACCCCACTTGCCCACTTTTATGTTTATATCTTACAGCACTAATTCTCTTTTGTAATTGTTGGTATTGAACCTAGGGCACATGCATGTTAGGCAAGTGTTCTACCTCTGAGCTCCTCTTGAACAGCTTGCAAACCATTTTATTTTGTTAAGATTCCATTTTAGAAGCGTACAGTAGGTTTTGTTTTTAAGTCAAGCATTTACAGTAGGACGTGCTGGGTATCATAGCAAGTGTTTTACGTGTATTAGCTCATTCCTTACAACAATCTGCTGAAGCAGGAACTGTTTCATACATGAGGAGACCATGGCACAGAGAGGTTAGGTGATGGGCCTAAGGTGCTAGAGCTAGTTAGCCCTGATGCCTGGATTCAGACCAAGGTAGGCTTGATACCACGGTCTGTGCTCGTAACAATAAAAGTTTTAAATCCAGGGCTGGAGGGATGACTCGTGGTTAGGAGTCCTCGCTGCTCTTTCAGAGGACCCGGGGCTCAGTTCCTAGCACCCAGGTCAGGCAGCTCACAGCTCCAAGGCATCTGAACCCTTCTTCTGGTCCCCAGCACCAACGTGTGTGTGTGCCAGGTACACATGAATAGATGAATAGACCTGAACTCTGGTCTTCACGGCTGTGTAGCAAGGGCTCCTCACCTTGAGCTAGCTCCCCAGCCACTCCCTTTTATTTATGTATCTTTTAATTTATATCTTTATTTTATTCTTAAATACATTGAAGAGTTCTACATCACAGTGTCTTTGGTACAGTGGGCTTCCCAGATAAGGCTAGACTTTAGCAACAATAGCTTTTGGAAACACGTTTTGTGAAATTAAGAAAGTCATTCATTTATTACCAGTTAACTTTTGAAAAAGAAAAATATATGGATTTAACAACAATTTTGGTCATTTTAATTTAAACTTACCAGCAGTTGAACACTGTCTTTCCCCAAAAGATGCAGAATCTTGTAAATGCTGGCAAAGATGAGGGGGTAAGTGTAACCCCTCAGTCTCTCTGTCCATTCCCAGGTCAGATAGCCATAATTACTAATATCAAGGACCAAATGTCAAACTGTATTGAAACAAATTAATTTATACTTCTACATATAAAACAATATTTTATTCTTTGACAATGTTTTTAAACAGTTTTTTGAGCCAGGCAGTGGTAGGAATTCAATCTCCAGCCTTGGATATGCTTAGGCAGGTAATGTACCACTAGACTGCACCCTAATCCTTAAAACACAGGGTTTTATATTGAATATTGAATATTTGGTCAACTAAAATCTTAATTTCCTCAAGTTAGAAATGTGTTTCTTGAGCCTGGCATGGTGACGCATGCCTTTAATCCCAGCACTCGGAAGGCAGAGGCAGGCGGATCTCTGTGAGTTCAAGGCCAGCCTGGTCTACAGAATGAGTTCCAGGACAGTCAGGGCTGTTACACAGAGAAACCCTGTCTCAAAAAAACAAATTAAAAAAAAAAAAAGAGACTATGATAAAGGATATCTGAAAACCATGTGGTGTGCAACTTCAAGAGACTGCCAGTATTCATCGGGAACAAAACTTGTCTGGACTAGGAAGCAGTTAAACATTCGCAGAGCAATGGTAAACAAGACCAGGTAAATGTTTTCTCCCAGAAGATCTGAAAAGCAAATCAAAGCAGTAATTGGTCTTAAAGTCAAGCAGCTCCTCCTTCAGATGCACCCCTGTAGTGGCCCTGGCCCTGGCTCTACCTAAGGCCCTCTACACCACTCCACAAACGTCATCTGGGTAAGGGATGCACTGGACCGGCTGCCCAGTTAGCTAAGGGTGGGACTCCTGCCTAGCCTACTTGAGGTCCTGAGTGTGTTCCCTAGCAATGTGTGGAGAACACCTCCCACCATCACAAAAACATGCACAAACCCCGGTAGGGATGGGGACACACACACACACACACACACCCCTACCTGTTAACCACTGGTGATTCCTTTCCAAACCTCCGTTTTACATGTGAGGAAGCTAAGGCTCAGAAACTAAACTGCTTTGCCCAAAAATAAAAATGCTGTTACTGACTAGGTAGTATTCAAACCCAGGCCGGTTGGCCACCCCCAAAGTTGGCTTTCCCCAGTGGACAGGCAGCCTGCATGCAGAATACAGAGTGTTCAAAACTAAAGTTTTCCACTTTAGTTGCTAACTGTGGGTGGGTGGGTGGGGTGGGGGGTGGATCAGATTTTATGTGAAAATCTGCTCTGCCAGGTGTGATGGTATCATCACCTCATGACAATGGGGAGATTGAGGCAGGAGGATTGCGGCAAGTCCAAGCATAGCCTGAACCACATAACACAGACACTATCCAGTGAGCCTCAGCTCGTTTCCACCGAGGTTGCACAGCCCACCAAGCCGCAGACGCCAGGAACCACACACTCTGCGGAGCACCCCGCACTCACCGCGGCGCCGCGAGCGCTTCGCCTGCGTGTTCACGCACAGCGTGGACTTCCTCTTCCGCAGCTTCATCTCTCCGCAGCGGCTGTGGAGACTGCGGAAGGCCGGGCCGCGGTCGCCGGCCTCGGGCTCCATCTCCTCCTCCCAGCCACCTGCAGCCCCTGCGGAGCCCGCCCCGCCGCCTTCTTGCCGGCGAACGCGCACCACTAGGATTGGGCCCCGCGAGCCGCCGTCGTGGGGCTGCCCCCCCAGCACAACCACAGCCGGAAGTGCGGCCGGAAGCGGCCGAGTCTCCAGGCGGTGCAGGCTTGCACCTACCTAGCTGGAGTTCAGTCTTGGAAAAGACAAAAGTCAAGACTGGAGGCCTGACTGCTCCCGGCACCTGGCCAGCGCCCGCCGAGGAGCGCGTGGAGGTAACCGCGGAGGGAGGCAGTGAAGTGCCGGGAACCAGGGTGACCCCGGCGCTCGCCCACACGCCGCGTCCTCGCGTGGGAACAGTTCCACCAAGGTTCTTACAGCGACAGCAGAGTTACACGGCAGTGATTTTTTTTAATTAAAGCACGTTTTTTTCCTAAAATATTAATTATGTACACACTGTTCTGCCTGCAGGCCAGAAGAGGGCGCCAGACCTCATTACAGATGGTCGTGAGCCACCCTGTGGTTGCTGGGAATTGAACTCATGTCCTCTGAATGAGCAGCCAGTGCTCTTAACCTCTGAGCCCCACGTCAGTGAATTTTTTATTATTAAATCTGTTTTTCCCCACCCCAGGGGATTTCTGTATTCCAAATTACTTTCTCATCAATTTATTTAATTTTTCTCTTGCGTTGATGTCGCTATGTAGATTAGTCTGGCCTTGAACTCAAGAGATCCTCCAGTCTCCGCCTGGGATTTAATGCGTGCACTATCACACTCTGTCTCATCTTTTTATCTGTCTTTGTGACAGGGCCTCACTGTATA